TTTTTAGAATGAAACAGGCTATCGGAAATAATTTTTTAAATGGTAAAAAAATAATAAGACAAAAAATTACGTTGGAAATAAATTTTAGGGGTTGCGTTTTCCACCCCTTACAACCATGGGGTAAACCAAATAAATTACTGGCTAAGTGTCTTTTTGGTAGTAGAAAATGTCAGGTTAATTTCAATATTGTAACTTGTTTAGTGCTTGTGAAAAAAATTGTTAAACAAATTTTATGTACCCCCTTTAAGGGGCTGTATCTTAACAAGGGATGCTCCAATGAAGTTTCTTTATATGAAAGATCCTATCTTTTTTTCGATGAGGAATCACCCCCTTAAATGTTTTACACTTATTTAGTTACACCCTGTATAGAAGGGCTCTCAAGCTTTCAAATGCATTTTGAAAATTCGAATCCGTCAATTAGGAGAGCTCTGGCGCTTGTTTAAACATTGGTCGAATGTTTGTACTTATAAACAATTAGGATAACTTTGTGAATATTCAATCAAATTAAATTTGTTAAAGCTAGTTTTAAAAGTTATTGGAAAGACGCTTCTTAAAAAAAAACAGATCGGTTGGTCAATTAGTTACGTAGTTATAGCCGATCAAAGTTAACCGTCATTTACAGTAAATGTACTGGGATATCCGGGCTAATTTTTCGAAAAATACCTTTGGTATTCCGAGTTCTTACCAGGCCTAAGTTTGCAATACTTTTCTTCATTGGCAACCTACTTTAAAACGCGTTTAAAGTTATGATTGCAAAATTATTATGCAAAATCTATCTAACCGATTTTGATGAAATTTGGTGTGATGATTCTACATAACATGAACTTTTCTAGAGCTAAGTATGAAGGCCCCATACCCAACTTAAAGACCCCAAAAAAATTCCCTAAATAGTAATGTTGTTTAACCCCATTTTTGGCGATTTTTTCGATTTTTACAATAATAATCATGATTCATTCGATTTGTAACTAGTCAAATTTTGTAAAATTTAATTCAGAACATTTTTTTCCTCTTCCATTTTCGCCTAAAATCAACTCTTGAAAAGATACATAATTAAATAGGAAGAAAAATATGACAATTTTCGATTTTTTTTAGCATATTGTGCCGCCAAAAGTTAAGCCCACGTTTTTTTTATGCGCATAGAAAAATTTTCATTTCTAGTGATATTTGAAAGCCAAAAAGCCAAAAATCCCCGTGGATATACGAATCACCCAAATATGGATTCTTTGAAACAGATACCGTCTGGACTATTAGTATGTTTTAAAATAATAATTCCCCCACCTTAGTCAACCAACCACAAAAAAATTAAATGCAGTCATTGTTGTCTCCATATCTTCCATCCTCTATGACCAAGACCTAAATTTTACATCACATCTGCAATTTTAATTGTCGGTGTTGATTATTATGTAATAAATGTTCCTTATATTTGCTATTTGTCTTTACTCTTATTGATAAGGCCCAATAAGTGTAGAACTGCTTATGCTTCTTTTTAGAAAATTTAGAACTAATCCTTACTTATTTTAGAGTTCTGGAAAGCTCATCGATGTAAGATTCCTGGACTTCCAACTTGTCAGATTGGGATCTCCAGTCTGCGACCTCTCTTACTGCTTGTACTCCGGTGGCACCAAGGAAACCTTCGACGACCTGGATCATTTGCTTCAGATTTACCATGACAGTCTTTCAGAAAACATCAGGGCGTATGGGTGTGATCCAGACGAACTGTACCCTTTGAAAGCCTTAAAGGATGATTGGAAGGTATACTTCCACTGGGGAGTTAGATTTGGTTTCTCGGTTTGGAGAGGAAAGCTTGTTTACGATGATGAAGTCCTTGATTTGACTGATGTGGCAACGGAAGATGGTGAAAACGTTCAAAAGTTCACGGACACTAAGTTTGACGAGAAAACTTTCAAGGAGAGGACCAGGGATATAATTTTACATTTATATGAAAATAATTTACTTTAAGGAGTTGTTTTACGTTAAATAAATCTGTCCTTGTTGACTTTCTGATAAGTTAATTTTAACTAAATTAAAAAACAAAATCAATATATTACAATACAATACAATGTAAGATAATTGAGAAAGCAGAACTGTTATCTCTAGAGTTAAAATTTTAATTGATGTTTAAAACCATAGGGTTTCAATATAAAGTGAGTGTTTTCAAGAAAGTTTAAAAAAACCTTTCTTTTAATCAAGGAATGGGAAACATTCAATGCTGAAGCTGCTTGCCGACTTGAATTACGTGGGTTTTCTTCAAATTGAGGCAGTACATTTAACATTATTATTACTCATTGCATTGGAAGCTTCTGTTTTATCCGGCGTATACATATTAAAATCATAGCATATTTGAATAAAGAATGAAAAAGCCTTTTAAATGAGGTATCACAAGCCCCTACCCCCCATTTAAAAATGTAGGGGTTGCAACTGTCACTTGAAGGAAGATGAAATTTTTGTGTTGCAAGATGTCATTTCAGAATCCAAAATCAATGTGCCTCGAGACTCTTTTTATAAATATCCAAAAAACAATAATCCAATGACACTTTCTGACTATCCTCCTATTAGTATCCTACCTACTTTGTCCAAAGTACTGGAAAGATTTGTCAATGATCAGCTGAATGCTTATTTAAACGAAAATCACATTTTACCTAGTATTCAATCTGGTTTTAGGAAATTGCATAGCACTACAACTGCTTTACTTAATGTTACGGATGATATATTTCGAGCAAATGATAATAGTTTCTCTACATGTTTAATATTGCTAGACTTCAGTAAGGCTTTTGATACTATTGACATTAATAATTAAAAAATTAAAATATTTTGGAGTTAGCAACGTTGTACTTTCATTTTTTTCGAGTTTTCTTTCTAATCGGCGCCAAAGAGTTTGTTTGGAAAATTTGTATTTCTGTTTTCGAGATGTTAAACAAGGGTTGCCTCAAGGTAGTATTTTGGGACCTACATTGTTTTCAGTATATACTGCAGATTTTTTCTCTTTTCTCAGTTACTGTAAAATACATCAGTATGTTGACGACACACAATTATACTTTTCTTTCACATATGAAAATTTTTTAGGGTCCCCTGATTGTATTAACTCTGATCTAAATACTATTTCCCATGTTCATATGCTAGTGTATTCAGTACTAGCATATGATAGTGCTCATATGCTAGTACTGAATGAAAATAAAACTGAACTTCTGCTCTTTGGTTGCAATAGACTGAACCTTATGAACAGTCCTGATTTTAAAATAAAAATAAATAAAAAAAACCTGCCAGTTTTTGTAAAAATTTAAGAGTGTTTATTGATGGCAATCTTAGGTTTGATAAGCATGTGAGCAATCAGTGCAAAAGTCTTACAGTAAGCTGAAAATTTTGTATATGCAAAAGGACTTCCTGACAAATGATATAAAACTGTTGCTATGTGACTCTTTAATTTTGTTCTGTAATCTGCTAACTCGTAGCAGACTTATGTATACAGTACCTAGACATAGGACAACTCTGAAAGAAGTTTTACGTATAATGCATCTAAGGTTTTCAATGATATCCCCACGTTTATCAAGTCTGCTCCTAATATTGATACATTTCGAGGACGGGTCAAGACTTGGATTATGTCTAAACGTATACTACAGTGATTGTATTTTGATATAATGTGATTTATAAGTTATTATTATTATTATAAGCACAATAATTGAGATACTGAATTTATTCTATTTGGTTATTCCACATTGCATACAGTGTATATGGGGTATCTTGGAAACTATAAGAGATAGGAAAATAGTTAAATGGGGAAAGTTTTGGACGGTTATGTTGCTAACTTAATGGGGCTTGCAGACTGATCCTAGCTCTTCAGGTGTTTGAGTGATTTTGAAAAGACGTAAATGTGGCGTTTTCGAAAATCGTATTTTTATAATCTGAAAACATTTATTCACAGTAAGATTTCGAAGTCTTCGAATAAAATCGTTTTCTTGAAGCCCCTGCGCATTACTCGGCTTGTATAAGTGATATGTATTTATTTTTCTATAAAACCTGCTAATTGTTGTTTTTGGAATGTTTATTTTTCTATTACATACCCTTGTTGACTATGTTAGATTATTGTTGGAATAATGTATTATTTGATTGTCCGGGTTATTATTGTCTTTTGCATAGTTGTTATCGTGTGGCTTGTCGAAACTTCCAAATATTCTCAAATTTGTCATAAGTTTAGAAAAATACCGTTGATTTGGTGGTTGTCTTTCGGTACAAATCCCAATATAATTGTTTAAAGCTATAGTTGCATTTCTCTCAGGGCATAATCTAAGAAAAATTTATCACTACCCAATTTCATACTATGACCCCCTTTTCTCGCAATAAGTACCCCCTTACAAAACATTATTAATCTAAATATGAATTATTAAAGTCTTTCACAGTACATAATTTTCGAAAATTTTGAATAATTTTTCATGTTTAAAAAAAAATAAAAAAATATGCAGTTTGTTCTTTATATTTATACTTAGTACATATATTATTATGACAAATTATGTATTGAAATATACCTAAACATTGATTCAAAACTATGATCTCTTATTCCAAAAATATGTATTTTCTAACAAAGAAATTGCAAAATATGTGCTACAAAAAAAGAAGAAAAATGTTTGAAAATACGCATTTTGAAACCTTTGGTATACTCAAGTAGTCATATTTATGAATTATATTTAATATAAAAAAATGGTAAGTAATAAATTCTTCAATTAAATAGAGTAATTTAAAA